ATCTGATTCCTTCCTTCACTTTCTAGAGTTAATTGGAAAATGCCGTTTAATAAGAAGCACCATCTGGTGGGAGTTGAGAATTTTTTAGTAGTGGTGGAATTGGGTTAGTTCCATTCACAGCCACACAGTCCCAATTTTTATTAGGACAACTGTTAGTTAATATTTATGATAAAAGGGGCATGCCAAAACCGTTAAATAAACAATTATGTAATCACGGAACTGGGCAGATTCCTGGGGAAGAAATCCATGGAGAGACTTGATTACTTAATGATTACTGCTGAAGCCTGAACATTAGGAAAACTCATCCTTGATTAAGCTCAATGCTGAATTGAATGGAATCTTGAAATGATCTATTGGGTGTTTTCCTTCTCCTTCAAGAGCAAAACAAACTGAGTCTCAGATTTTGACCAGCAAATGTTTCCTTCCTCGTCCAACAAAGCCTATTAGGCAAACTCAAAAATACTTCCAAGAGACTTTTCTGCTGGAAATGGACTAATACTTGTTCATGTCCATGCACAAGTGCCAAAGGAAATTTCTAGTGCTGTGTATTCGAAGTATATCACGTTTCCTGCTTGGCTTGGTAACCCAGTGACCTGATGAAAGGGAAATAAAGAAATAAAACTTCTCTATTTTTTAATAAACCTCATTGGCCAATGCATTTCTAAAGCTATGACTCTCCATTTGGGATGCAGAAAAGACTGGGGTTCTGGATGGTCCCAGATGGGATGACTTCCCCAAGTATTCAGGAGCCTCGTCAAGAGGAAGCAAGAAATTACCAAAAAGAAAAAAAAAACCTAGCTTGAATTAATCATCCATGAAGTCATACTAATATTGGTAAATCTTTATGATGATTATGATCATGATTTATCACTTGTTGTTTGTATGTATTCTGTGAGTTTATGCACCGGAGACAAATTTCTTGTGTGTCCAATCACACTTGGCCAATAAAAAATTTCTATTCTATTCTATTCTATTCTATTCTATTCTGTTCTGTTCTGTTCTGTTCTGTTCTTTTCTGTTCTTACTCAACTCTACTCTACTCTACTCCATTCCATTCCACTCCACTCTCTACTTTACTCTATTCTTATTCCTACCCTACCCTATACTACACTACACTATACTTATTCTATTCTATTCTATTCTATTCTATTCTATTCTATTCTATTCTATTCTACTCTACTCTACTCTACTCTACTCTACTCTATTCCTTTTTCTATTCTATTCTATTCTATTCTATTCTATTCTATTTGTCTATTCTATTCTATTCTGTTCTGTTCTGTTCTGTTCTGTTCTACTCTACTCTACTCTACTCTTAAGCAAAATTTGGACCCAAGAATTTGTTCCAATTTTCTGGAATGGCTGCAGACCATGTATAGCGAGCCATAAAAACAATTATTGCAGAAGTGAATATGCCATATTAAAGATCTTATTTTATAAACTAATTCTCCCTGCTTATTTGTCTCTTCTCATCTTATTCATGTGTAAAAACATTTCCCTTTTTTAAAAAAGCACACCCATAAATAGTTTTAGATTTTATGGCCTCGATTCTGGACTTATGTTCAGTCTAGAGGAATACCAATTTAAAAATATAAGGATAAGTGGTCTTCCTTCTTTCCAGATTGAAGCATCCCTGTTTTTTGTGTGCTGGGTGTGATTTACACGCTGCATCTTGGACAATCATAGCTTAGTGACAGCGATTGTGAAAACAAACGGGAGATTTGCCCAGGTGTAAAATGCAATCCAAAAGCACCTCTAAAATGAATGCCAAAGAAGTTGTGGGGATTTTTTTTTTTCCAAGCTGAAGTTAAAGTTCTGGAGACAGCCTATAAAAACCCTGGTCGATTTTCTACTTCAAAAAAAATGTTGCGAAATGCATTTCAGTATGTCATCCCAAAAAATATGCAATTCTTACTGCAAGGGGGGGAAACCCCACTATTTTAGTTGCAGCCTAATTGAATTGGCTGATCACTAGAATAATTGAGTGAGATTCCTTGTTTTGGGGCGACGGGCTTAATTATTTCATTATCACCTTGGCATTAGCAGCGTTAGATGTTCTCTGTGGTATTCGTAAGCTCCTCTCGCCTTTGCAAGCCTTACCCATTGCAACAAAAGTGATATTGGTAAGGCTTGAAAAGGAAACCGCTCATTTAGGCCTTATACATGTCTTTGTCTTTGGGGAATGCTCCAACTTTCCAAGGCCATTTTGCGTTATGTGTGTTTGTGCCAGCGGGTGTTTGAGAGTGCACTTTGCAAGAAGTAGAAAATGGTTCTATATCTCCATCTAGCGGAGAGACATTGTAATCCATTTTTTACTATTTTAACTCTTTGTTTCGTTTGATCTCATCCAATTCCCTGTAGGAATTTCAGGATTCCTTTTTTAAGCCAGCATTTAGCATGAGCACTGAGTTAAAAAGGCAGAGGAGGCTTTGTTTCTAAGCCAGGGGTCTTTTATGACTTGTGGACTTCAACTCCAAGACCTCAACTCAGCCAGGCTGAGGAATTCTGGGAGCTGAAGTCCACAAGTCATAAAAGGGCCACGTTTGAAGACCCCTGTTCTAAGCAATAGTACTGTAGATCTTGGAGCTTTTTTTTAACCAGCATCTCATAACAGAAGCTTTTGAGGGGAAGCCTATCAGAGATCTGAAAGCAAGGTTGTTTGTTTCAATGTGTGGCTGGTTGAGAGGTAGAGAGGATTTACTTCCAGCTTCCCAAGATAGTAGAGAGTAGTAGTGCTGTCACCAGGTGAGATGAGGCTAAGATGTTCAATAGCTTTCCTCTGATTTTTGCAGGTTCTTCTGTCCTGCCTCCCTTGTGTAACATATTTAGGTGGTGCCAGTGGCAAGATGGGTGACTCTAAAGAGATGTTTGCTGTGGAAATCTGACAGCAAAATCCTGGGGAGGGGTCGTGGTCCAGGACTTCTAGAAGGGAGCTGGGAGAGGGTTTTGCCCCATGGCTATATGTTGCCCTCCCACGTCTTTCAATGATGAAGTGCAGCGTTGCCTCGCCACCCAAGGTTCCCTCAAATTACAATATGGAAGGCATATAAACTTAATAAATAAATAACAAAAGTACGTATAGTCCAGGCCATGGTTTTCCCAGTTGCAACGTATGGTTGTGAAAGTTGGACCATAACAAAGGCTGAGCGCAAAAGAATGGAGGCCTTTGAACTATGGTGCTGGAGAAGACTCCTGCGAATCCCCTGGACTGCAAGGCGATCAAACCAGTCAGTCCTAGAGGAGATCAACCCCGACTGCTCTTTAGAAGGCCAGTTGAAGTTGAAACTCAAGTCCTTTGGCCACCTAATGAGAAGGAAGGACTCACTGGAGAAGAGTCCCGCGAGTCCCCTGGACTGCAAGGCAATCAAACTGGTCAGTCCTAGAGGAGATCAACCCCGACTGCTCTTTAGAAGGCCAGATCCTGAAGCTGAAACTCAAGTACTTTGGCCACCTAATGAGAAGGAAGGACTCGCTGGAGAAGAGCCTAATGCTGGGAAAGATCAAGGGCAATAGAAGAAGGGGACGACGGAGAATGAGGGGGCTGGATGGTGTCACTGAAGCAGCAGGTGTTAGCTTAAATGGACTCCAGAAGATGGTAGAGGACAGGAAGGCCTGGAGGAACGTTGTCCATGGGGTCACGATGGGTCAGACACAACTTCACAACTAACAACAACAACAAAAGGAAAGTTGTGCTGAATTTAATCACAGCCCAGATATTTAACATGTGGAACAAACATCATGTCAATTAAAAACCAAAATCCATAAACACCAGTTGGCAGTCAAACGCCACGATCCCAGATCCCTAATCTCTCCCCACACTGACACTGAAGAGCATCAATTTGATTGGAGCAATACAAAAATCATGGGCCACACTATGCCTGCCATGCTCATGAGTTTATCGAAGCCTGGCACTCCACAAGCAATTCCATCAACAGACCCATCAAGCTATAACCAGCCTACAAACCCCTCAGAATTAAGATTAACCACACAGCCAACCAGCAATGGCACTGACCTTCCACCAACCCATGCAAGCCCCGCAACCAGCAGGTTCCCAATGACCATCACGTAATGTGACCTCCCCATTACAAAGCCTGTCACGAGACCCTCACTTGATGTGACCCAAACCTGACCCATCACAAGACCCATCTCAAGAACCTCACTTGATGTGACTCACACCTGACCCATCACAAGGCCCATCATACGATCCTCATCTGACATGACCTCCCCATCACAAGATCCGTTGACCACGCAAAGCCCTTATAAGCAGAAGAAAATCAACCCTGACATCCTCTAAATTCTGCTGAAGATGTTACCTAGCCTGATAGCAGAACATTTGGAAACCAACCCAAAAGCTCAGAGAATGAACATCCATCCCCACCCTACACCTGAGCTACAGATATTTGCCACTATCGCAAATTTAACTTTCTGTTCCATGCATCTTTGTCTCTTATTCTCTCCTATAGAATTGGTGTGGTGTTATTGAATGTTGCATGAGAAGTTGGGGTGGAGGACGTACAGCATTAATACACAGTGCAACATAGGACAAAACAATTGATCTAGGGATCCAAGATGCAAACTCCTTCCCTACTCCTTTGAACTCTTTTGGCTTAGTTCATTTCTTTCCATCTTTTCCTACCTTGTTCAGTTGTTGGGAAGATGGAATAGAATGGGAAAAGTTTCTTAGGAATAGGGAAAATAGAGATTTTTCTTTGGTTGACATTTTAATGAGAAACTAGCCACCTCCAAACCTTGATGTGGATTGAAACTTGGTTATATGGCCAAATCTGCACTTCTTTGGATTTTGCAGAAACCTGGGAGGACTTCCTTTTTCACAGGTCTCCCTCACTAGGGAGACCAGGAACATCCCACTCAACCTCAAAAACAAAACAAAACAAAACAAAAAAACCCCTGGAACCTAAGATCTTTTGAACTATGATAGCTGCTGCAATATTCAAAGTCCAGTTTCTTCTTCCAGTTTTAAAACACATCCCTTCTTTTCCGAGCTTCGATCTCATTTTCTTTGGAGCTCAGAAGTATTTTACAGAAGCTCTTTTGCACAGCTTCGTTTCCTTGGCTCCTCAAACCCCAACGGTGCCCAGAGTTGCTTAGTGACTTCTGACGTAGGAAGGCTTGTCTCGACCACTGGAGGGTTAGACGCCTCTAGTCAAGCGTCTATCTTTCTGTCCTGATGGCAAGAAGAACATCTAGGGAGAGACGCCATTGGATTAGCCTTGGAGGAAGGCCTTCCCAAATCATGCAAACAATGGAAGAACTGGATCGGTGTCATCTCTGGAAAAGGCTGAGCTCTCATTTTGGCGGTGTCCTTTGTAATAGTACAAGACGCTCAATGCTCTGGCATGGAAATTATGAAGGCAGAATGCCTGTTGGGAGGCACAATGTGGAGAAGCTGATAGAGCTAAGGCACCATCTGTTTGAAGGGGATAAGCGCTCTATGGAAAAGGCCTAGGAGGTATCACTCTGCTCTGAATTGGCTGCCATGGCAGGGATCTTCTTAAAGTCAAACCAACCGTCCATCCGTAGACTCAACCTGGCTGATGTCCGGGACTTGCTGACAATACAGAAAAAGATCTCAGCCAGAAATGGAGACTATACATGTCAATCCATAATGTCAGCTTCTCCGATGTCTAAGTCCAAGTACTGATGTTTGAAAACTTCTTCTGGGTTTAGTTCTCTTCCCCAATGAATTAGGCAGATTGTATGATGTGCTGGGTTCCTTTCAGAAACAAGGAAGCGAGCACAAGTCATTTCGATCGTGTACGTTCTTATGTTATTTTGTTTTAAATGCTTTCTTCTTGTTCCATAGGCTGTATCTATATTTAAGATGAAGAATGGGCTAGTTGGGTACCCCGATGTACACTTTGAGTCTATTTTTTCTTACAGACTTACCTCCAAAACAACCTTGACTGATTCTGGAAACTTATGTTTGTCCTCATCTTGTTCTGAGTTACAGGATTTAACAATGACTAAATTCTCATCTCTGGTTGAAAGATGACATAAATCGTCCCCAAACTGAAGAAAGAATCTATTAAAAGGGGGAAAAAGAAAGATCTGGTAGGGAAATAGAAATTCCACTAAATCCATAACCTGGAAGTCAAGAAGCCAAGTTTATTTGGAGCGAAGATCTTCAAAGACAAAGAAGATCTTCTTTCCAAAACTAGGATTTTTGATTTCTTTGACCTCTCCCAAACGACATGGTTCTACAGATGTAAAGCAATGGCGGGCCATAAGGCATTAGCTTCTGTTTATGCATTTATTTGTTTAACATACCAGCAAAAATAATGGTAACACCACACTTGATCTTAGCCCAAAGATCGAGAAATGATGGCGATGTTTCCCCTAGAGGGCAAGCCTAAAGTGAGATTGATTTTGATAGTTGGCAGGAGGTTGCTGGTTACAGTAGTGTGTGTGTGTGTGTGTGTGTGTGTGTGTGTGTGTGTGTGTGTACAGCATTTAGTCTCTTGCTCCAAGGACAGAAGGACACACAGTCGGCAATGGTAGATATATTTTATCAGTAAATGAATAGTCCATTGTAGATGTTCATTATTTACTGGTTATTGGGGTTCTGATCTTTTAAAAAAAATTTTTAAAGAGGTTTAGTTACAAAGGACATAACTTACCCTTTGAGGAAGATGTTTGTGAAAAATACTGAATGGCAAAAAATTATAAAAATAATCAAATACTGACCTGGTTGCTGTATGATCACTGTGTGAGATAAAAGAGCCATGTAAGTAGATGTAAATAGATAAATCAATCAATCGATCAATTGATTGATTGATCTAATTTGTATAACTGCCCATCTCTCGAAAGTGACTCAGTAGGCAGTGGGCAGTGTACAACAATGAAGTCATTTCTTTTTCTTTATTTAATTTCAATGAAATATCATCAATATAATTTCCCTTTGGTTGACCCCTTGAATAGGTCCACGGAATTCATCTACAGAAGTTGAAGCTGCTTGAAAGAGTTGCAGGTGCCAAACCATTTTTCGGGAAATTCAAAATACTGTACTGCTAAAGTATTGAAAAGATCTATCGTATTAGACATTAAAATTTAGCAAAAAGTTCTTTGAGTTCCTTGTACCAATCAAATCACCATGAATAGATACGTAGAGATAAACGACAGTTACCTACCATGCAAAAGAGACAATTAAAAAAAGCTGAGAAGAAACCAAAAAGATCAGAGCACATTTTTTCCAGCTCCCAGATAAGCAGGGATTATACCAGACAAACCATCAAGGAGAAAACAATACCCTAATCGAGGAATTAACAAGGAGATAACCCCACACTTACTTGCACTATCTAGTTGGGTAGTGAAATTCTACAAGTTCAGAGAGCAACAAGGACTTTATTTATTGCCCAGGAGTTCCAAAATAAATGCGTAGCCCACCTCTGTTTCCAGAGCTATAGAAAATAACCCTGCAGCATATTACCCTTTTACTTGTGCTTCTTCTTCTTCTTCTTATCTCCCCAAAGATAAGGTACAGAAGCATTTTATGGCTAAAAATTCCTAGATTCTAAGAGCCCATCAGGATACAATGTTCACATTAGGCCATGAAAAAATATGAACACACACAAAAAAAGCATTTTCCAGCTCCAAAACGAGTCGGATTTTGCATGCATCTGCTTGGAAAGATACTCTCTGTTGTGACTGTCCTCATTTTTGTTTGTTTGTTTGTTGTTTGTTTGAAGAACTCCTGTTACAACAGCTGCTGAGGATGTTCAAAGGCCTGGCGTGTGGTTACATTTGCAATCCGACTGCCTTTGTGACTCTGACTCCATTGTCAGTAACAATAAGGGCGACAAAAAGGAAGTTGGAAGCAATTCAAGCCCTGATTTGGTTTTTAAGCTCTGCAAAGTACACTGGCATCTGGGTGATCTTTGTTGAATTCCAAAAATGCAAAAATTGTAGCTTGTTCCTGCGAATCAGATGAGATGATGGAGGCAGATGCCTGGCAGAATGACACCCCCCCCCATGTAAATGGAGCCCTCCCTTCCACTCTTGTTCAAATATTATATTGACACAGGCACTTAGTCCCTGGGCAGTTTAATTAAGTTGGGATTCATCCTTGTTATATAAATGTGACATTGCAGAAAGCCTTGGAGAATAAACCCGAAAGATGGGGGGGTGTATTCCCCCCCTCAGACCCTAAGGGGAGTGAATCTCTTCCCCTTCCTCCCCCACACTTTTCAACAAACACACACAAACACAATTCTCTTTTGAAATCAAAGTGCATGGTTGATAAATACCATTCTAACAGACTCTGGTGGGGTTAATCTTTCTGGAAAATGAATGTGGTTTCTGAATGTCGCTTAGCCTCTTGGGAAATCGGGTTGCTGGTTGGTTTCAGTTAATTAGACTCACTACATTTCTACCAGTATCTCATGCTATCCTTTCCCTGAAGAGTTTGAAAATCAAGGTTGGCTTATACAGCTGGGATGCTGGTCCCCGGAGCACTTTCAAAGAGTTGCCAACAAATGGCAATTTTTTTTCACTATAAACATCTACTAAACAACATCCAGAGCTTAATTTTATTCAGTGTTTTTTTATTTCTTAGTTCATGATGATAATGTCATGAGTTCAAATTTCAGTTTGAGTTGGTCGAATACAGACTAACAAAATTGGAAGGAACCTTGGAGGTCTTCTAGTCCAACTCTGTGACCAAACAGGAGACCCTATACTACTCTAGACAAATCGCTGTCCAATCTCTTCTTAAAACTTTCCAGTGATGGAGCACACACAACTTCTGAAGGCAAGCCATTCCAGTTTCTTCCAAAATAAGGCAAATTGAACGCAAATTTGCATTGAAATACTAAATTCTTCTATGTTTGGGGACTTGACCATTGTAGTAGTTGCATCTTTCCAAATGCATAGAGCCACCTGTCATTTATAACAGCCCTGAAAAGGTGCCATGTTGGATGCATTTCTCCCTGCTATCTTATTGTGGAGTTATGAAAATGTTCCCTTTCATTAAGACACATTTGCTGTTGAAGATGGTTCCTTTGAACCATATTATTCTTCATTGTTCTCTCTAGAGGAAATCCATAGTGATCCTCATTTATCCTGTTCTGAAGTCATCACTCCTATTTTTCATGTCTCAGGTGTGATCATTGTTTGGGTATATGCTTCCCTGTTACACAGTTCTGATTCTTGTATCTACTATCAGGGACCTACATGTAGAAAGTCAAAAATCAAGTGGAGCTGATGACTGCAGCAAAGACCAAGAATCATATTAATAGACCACTTCCTTGGAATTTCTCTGGATTAAAAAAAGGAAAAGAGATTGCCCATATATGCTCCAGATGGCTGGTCCTTGCAAGGAGACTGCAGGACAGAAGTTTTTCATGGATTCAAGCCTCCAAAACAATGAGATCAACCATGCAGGTCACAACTGCAGCGGAGATTTTTAAAGGACACTAAATTCAAAAGCCTCACTTTCTAATTACTTTTGGAAACTGCCTACTAGGCACCCTAAAGTTATTAGAGACTATTGGAATGATAAGTTTGAAAAACTCATTGGGCGAGTGTTATCTTTCACTCCAAATGAAAGAAAAATTAATTATAAGCTTAAGAACTTAAAAGAATTTGAAATAAAGCAGCAAAAAGCTAAGTAAGATTTTGATCTAAAAACCTATATGGATTATGAGTCCCAATAAACTTGGAATATTGACTTTTACCAAGATTTTGGAATGAACTATAAAAATAAATATCTTCCCATGGGAAGCATACTATATTTTAAGTAGGACGTGGACCAGTGGATATCTCCACTAGTAATTTAGGGTTAAATACAGAATATAGAATAACAACAATGGTGAAAAAAATAAGGTTCTACATTTAGGCAAGAAAAACCAAATGCACAGGTATAATATAGGGGGTACCTTGCTCAATAGTAGTAACTGTGAGAGGGACCTTGGAGTCCTAGTGCCCAATCACATAAATATGAGCCAGCCGTGTGCTGCAGCTGCCAAAAAGGCCAACACAGTGCTGAGCTGCATTAACAGAGGGATAGAATCAAGATCATGTGAAGTATTAATACCATTTTACAATGCCTTGGTAAGGTCACACTTGGAATACTGCATCCAGTTTTGGTCACCACGATGTAAAAACAAATGTTGAGACTCTAGAAAGAGTACAGAGAAGAGCAACAAAGATGATTAGGGGACTGGAGGCTAAAACATATAAGGAACAGTTGCTGGAATTGGGTATGTCTAGTTTAATGAAGAGAAGGACAAGGGGGGACATGATAGCAGTGTTCCAATATCTCAGGGACTGCTACAAAGAAGAGGGAGTCAAGCTATTCTCCAAAGCACCTGAAGGCAGGACAAGAAGCAACGGGTGGAAACTAAGCAAGGAGAGAAGCAACCTAGAACTAAAGAGAAACTTCCTGACAGTTAGAACAATTAAGCAGTGGAACAACCTGCCCCCAGAAGCGGTGAATGTTCCAACACTGGAAGTTTTTAAGAAGAGACTGGACAGCCATTTGTCTGGAATGGTACAGGGTTTCCTGCCTGAGCAGGGGGTTGGACTAGATGACCTCCAAGGTCCCTTCCAACTTTATTATTATTATTATTATTATTATTATTATTATTATTATTATTATTATTATTAATTGGTAATAAGCCTCATGCTTCAACATACAGGAAATATCATGGTCACAGTTGGACAAATTCATTTAAACAGGTTACCAGAATCCCAAACCTTCATACTGAGTGTATGGTCAAACATTAGCAAAGGTCTGTTTCTACCATATGTTGCTTATGACCTCTAAAGAAACTGAACATATCTTGATATAGCAGGCCATGTTGATCCATATGGATTGCTGGTTAATTCATTCAAAGCATACCTTCTGCTCTTAAGGATATCGAGTCTCCTAAGTATTATATTAATCCTGCAGGAGGTTACAGAGATAATAATATCTGTGCTCCCACAACTGAATCAATGAATGTTGACTTATAAAATGTCAAACTTTAAATTTTAAACCTAAACTGGATTTAGGTTTTTTTGCTCTACCTTTAGCACAAACAAAAATCTGAATTAAAATAATGATCGCTCCTGCAAGATCAGATTTTCCTGATTCTAATAGCTCTGGTTATAATCTCCTTGGAAGATAAATCACATTTTTCCATTGCACAAGAAGAGTATAATATAATTCTTTTCTTTCATATTTGCCTAATTTTTCCGGCCTGACCATCTGTACTATTATGTCTTAGCAAGATTTAATCTTCTGATATTGGAAATCCAGACAGGATGTTTTCAGCTGAAAATACATATAAATAACTTGAATTTGTATCAAGTTATAATCCAGAGAGGCACATTATAACAGTTTAACAGAATCCCTTTTTTAGTTTATAGGAGGCATGTTTTGTAATATTTAACGATGGCAAAGATGGAGGCTGTAGTCAGCCAGATGAAATGAGACACTGGATGAAGGGCATTCTTTTCACTGAGATTTATTTTCCTTTTTCACTCTTCCGTTTACTTCTTTATTTTCAGCACAAAGTCTTAAATCATTGAAGAATTGGTACATATCCAAAATGCATCTATTGACCCAGATGCATCCCTCCAGTCACAAGAATAAAGGGATTGTTTTTCCAAGAATCTAATAGATCTTATTCACATTAGCACGCTTGCCAATAAATATTTGGGTCTTCAGAACTCATCTCTGAGTTTAGTAACACAACCCAATTTGACCCACAAACTACCCATGAAAGCTACACCATTTTGAGAGGCCTCTCTGGTTAAATTGTTCGCCATCTCTTAAGTATGAACTGCGCTAGCCAAAAAGTTGAATTCAGTGACTCTCTCCAGCTTTGATTCTACAGACTTCATCTCTGTATGGTTTGTTCACACACTTGCGTCCTTGCCAAATGAAACAACTAATGTTCTCTAATCTGGTGTCTTCCAAAGATGCCGAGACTAAAACTCCAGAATTGTCTAGGGCAGTGGTTCTCAACCTGTGGGTCGGGACCCCATTTGGGGTCGAACGACCATTTCAGGGGGTCACCAAACAACGCAGTCTGCCATTTTCCCCCCCTTTTCCTTAGCTGTGCTCCTCCCTTTTATTCT